TTGCCTGGACAAGGTCATCTTGCAGCGCGCGCTGCCGCCAGGTGATTGCGTTGTCAACGACCCTCGAGGCCATGCCGGGGCGTCAGCCGGCAGGAGTAGGAGCAGCAAGACAGATGATCAGAGAGAATTATCCTGAGGAGACTGCCAGCCCATTGACTCTGAGAATCCTGGGCGCTGGTACCTCCCGCCTCGTGGCGCGAACCCACCTGCAGGAGCCTCCTGGGCTACTGGCCTGCCCTCGGTCACCGAGGTCCCTCTCTCAATGTTTGTCTTACTTCTGCATGCTGTGCTGCACACGATCTGCACATGTGCTGTAAGAGGTCCACACCATGAAGTATGTCATTCCCGCGGGCTTCACATGCCAAAAGTGCACGCTGCAGTGGTATTATGCTACCGCCAACAGCTGTCTTCCGGACAACTCTTACAGGAAGCTCTGCTCAAAAACTCTGAGTTACTCAACGTTGCTCTCAGCAGGCTTCTCATCCATTGATGCCATAGATCTTGGCGAGAGTGTAAGATGTGTAAGGACATACTTCCAGCAGCTGCAAAGCTTGGGCTGGAGCTCTGCGAGTCAGACGCTGAGAGTCCATATCTGTCCAGAGGGAAGGGAACGCAAGGTCTTCTAGTCACGAAAGCCCTTAAACATAGCCAAGAAACCCTAAGACAGTGCGGAAGCATCCTGGGGCATTTTCAGGCAAATTCCGCGGCCCATACTTTTGTGTTGTTTCTGTGCAAATGAACGCCCCTTTTTTGCAGATTGTGCCCCCATGCTCTCACCCCCCTCCCCCACCCCCGCCCCTCCTCCGGCCAGATAGTGTATGGCTTGCATATGGTGTTTTATGGTTTGTATTAAAAGTACTGTACGAAATTTCTGAGATTCTTCTGATATGCAGTGGGTGAATTAGTTTACAGTTTGGTGAAGTTCTGGGGTAAGTCACTTCTTATTAGGCTATACGCAGATTTGGTTCATGACATGTTGTCGTGAGTTCTCAGTGTTGTTTGCATAGTTCTGTCAGACAGTTCTGTTATGTGTACTGTACACGCTTAAGTGCGAGATGTTATAGTGTGTTTTTACAGCGGTTTTCAGGTGGTATGCTTTACATCGTGGATTGCTTTATGTACAGCTTCTATTCCAGCACCTTTGAGACATGTCTTTACATATCTAGCTATTTTCCAGTCATGTTTGCTTAATCTGTTTAAACATCATATTCTGAACTGTGTACTTTTTTTAACATTGCGGCTGCGATAGGTTTTGCAGGTTTAAACTAAAGCTAGCCTGATGATACGCATATAACAAGGCACATCGCACAAGCTGAGCTAATCAATGACACATGAGCTAAGACCATGACAAATGGTAAATCGTGAACATGATTCCACAAAGCAAGTTTTCATATGATACGAGTTGACATGATAACACATATCACTCGCTATTGTGTTGATTAGTATTGCTTATTCTTCCCCACCTGGGCGCGGGGCTGTTTGGTTTTAACTCCATGATTCTCCTCGAGAGATACTTGCTGTGAAGAACCTTGTGTTTTGAACACATGTTCGTGTTAATAGTACTTTTCAAATGTCGTGCTTGCTTGAGGGTTAGGGGGAGGTGTTTGCGCTCAAGGTTTAGGCTAACGCTTATTACAACAATGATTGGAAGGTTTCAGCAGGTTTCCGGATTTCAGGCCTTTCGGGTTTGTGGGGGGAGGGGTGGGGGGTAAGGGGGTGGGGGTAACAACGTCCCTTCATGTATGGCGACCCTGCGCAAAAACATCGGTATTTACAGCTTTTTTGCCAAGGATGCTTGACGTTTATGGAACAAGACACGCAGCTACCAGCGTTCATGATCTTGTCAAAGATGCCCCAAACACTTGTATTTACAGCATTTTTCCTTCTCTATACAACATATTTCGGAGGTCACATGTGCTCGTGCCTTTGGCGCAGATGCCACAATTCTATTTGCAGCATTTCTGCCTCTCTGTACACATTTTTGCCTCTGTGCAAAACATAAGCACAAGAACGCTGTGCGAAGTGTTTCGCCCGAAAGCAGCGTTCAAGAAGCAAGCGCTTTTTTGGGTGCGATTCGCACGTCTCGAAAGCGTCGCTGTGCGCAGTGTTTTCGCGCGAGCGAACACCGATCCCATGGTGGCAGTGGTGATTTTGCGGATAGACAAAACACGTCCAGCGAATGCGAGGCGCAAAAAACCTCGAGTGTTTCGCGTTTTCCGCTGTCCAACGCCGAAATGACACGCGCAGAACTCTCGGGGCCGCAAGGAAGGGCGTTACCAGGTTTAGGGTTTTGGGATAAGGGTCTGGGTTTAGGTTTGGGTTTAGGGTTTAGGGTTTGGGATGGAGAGTTTTAGGGTTTGGGGTTTAGGGTTATTTCTTCTTACACCTGCAATGCTCCTGTCTTCCCAGAGACCATTTCGAAGAACACCACCAACATACACAACATGTTTACTTTGGACATCCCCGCCCGAAGCCAAGCAGTTCACGACCACTGCAAGGGGGTCATCTGCTGAGTGGGGACTCCTTGGGTGCTCTGTGAGGTTTTGGTGATGGGGATCTCGTGAGCTCTGTATGGTCCCTATACCCTGCGGGATGCTCTGGTGGTGGGCACCCCACGAATCCAGCGGATTCTCGAAGACTAAAAGATTCTGGGGGGGCCTCTCGGGGATACTCTGCGGAGACCTCGATCCGGAAGCAAGGGCCGCAGAAGAGCCCGCACGAACCGGCCACAAGGAGGCCCCAGTCCAGAAGCGCTTGAAACGCCATCCTTGAACCAAGAGACCGCTCCGCTTGCTGCTGGTGGTCAGGGCTTGTCTGGGCGAGCCTTAGGAATACTCTCCTCACTGCTTGGTGTTTGCGACGCACCCCTGGAATCCCTGCTGGCTAGTAGCTTTCTTCCCAGTCCCTCAATTTCCCTAGGAGTCGAAGTGTGGAGAGCTTGTCCAAGGCTGCAAACATGTTGAAGTCAGAGAGTCATAGAGAAGTGGAGCGGAGGCTGGAGCGCCTGGGCCGTTGCAAGCTGGGCTACCTGCGACGCCGCCTGCTGTGGTCCGGCTGGGCGAGGAACCTTTGGCGAGGAGTTCTGGAACTGCGCCGATGTGGCATCTTGGTATCATCTTGGTGGTCTGGAAATGGGAGATGTTGATTTTGGGCTTTGAGGGTGCTGTTGCTGACTCTGTCACCCCAACTGCAACTTTGTCGAGCATGGTATGACTGCAACGATGCAAACTGGGCAGGCAGTGCTGGAGGGGAGCGGACCTGTCCCGTCGACTTCTCCGTCGCCGTCCCCAACTAGCACTAGCACTGTTCCGGCCTGAGAATGAGCGAAAGATGTGGATTCGGCAGCTCGTGTCCACCTCCTCACAAAGCGCCCAGGTCCCGACCACGACTACGACGCCAGCTGGACCGTGCTCAGCGTTGTATGAGCAGTGCGGCGGGAACAACTACAACGGCCCGACTTGTTGCCAATCAGGTTGGTGCGGGCGCAAGGGGATAGAGGCTTTGATGACATGAGCGCACGCTCGTGCCATTCTTGCTGTTGCCCAGCAGGTTCCGTCTGCAAGTTTTCCAACGAATGGTATTCGCAGTGCCTTGAGGGCACGGCCCCAACCCCCACTCCGACGCCGGCGCCATCCTCCACAGCATCGCCCGTGACGACTTCCGTTGTGACTTTGCAAAATAATTGGCCCGGACGTCTCAAGCCAGCAAGAGAGGCCGTTTCGGGTTGAAGGGATGAGCAAACAGAGGCGACCACAGCCCGACCCCGTCAGTGCTCATGCGCTGCCAGCACTTCTTGGGAAGGACGCTTGGATTTTTGGCGGGGGTTCAGGGTTCGGCACCCCAAGCTCGCAAGCCGAAGCACAGTTGCATTCTGGAGGGCGAGAGATGGACTGTCAAACTGGGCAGACATCTGTGGAGCTATTTGTGCTGCTGTCCTTGCCACGCAGGATCTTTTGATCAGTTTGCCAGTTCTCTTGGAGGCACCAGCCGACATGCAAGTATGCCATTGCGGATTTATCAGAGGGAGTGTTTGCGATGTTGTCACAACATGGCAACAAATTGTGCCAGGAAATGCTGACTTCTGTGGCCAGAACTTCGGTGGTTCCGGACCATACATCTCTGCAGGTGGAGGATCTAGTGGTGGTGGTGGCTGGAGTGGAACTGAACCCTGCACATCCGGCCAGTATAGCTTCAGACACTCGGCTCTTCGTTGATCGTGTGTCCGTTCCTTCTTGTTACCGCGCAGCCGTCACCACACGCAGAACCAAGGTGAGGACGGCTGGAAGATCACTGTTTCTGCGAGTCAGGGCACAAGCACAGTGCCGTACCGGGCCTTTGCCTACCTAAACTTCTGCGGCGGCAGTGCTTACAGCACGTGCTGGTCCAGCGATGTCAACGTGTTCTCATTCTCGTTCAAGACTTCCGGCGCCAGGCGCACAGAGTTGGATAGCATCTGATGCTTGTCTAGGTCACCACAGTGCAAGAACTCGCCCTGCTATCTGCAAGCGTGGTGCAGCCTTTAGAGCTGCTTCTTGGTAGCCTTTTTAGGGAAAATTTCGGGAATGTTAGGGTTACGGCAGGGAGCTGAGTGCCTTCGTGAAGCTGCTCTTCTGGACCGACAGCGGCAACATCCTGGGCCTTGTGCCCCCAAGCCATCCGAAAGGAGCCCTTTGGGGGGGGGGGCAATAAGGGGGGGGGAGCCTCTCTAGGAGGCACCTCAAGCGGTGTGCTGAGCTGGGCTTTCGAAGGGCGCCGGAAGTTCCAGAATGCCAGCACGCTTTTCAGCAGAATTTCAGATAGTTTGGGCATGTGCTTTCACGCAGGCTCTGGGAAGCTGCGCCTGGTCTCCTTCATCACGGACGACTACCCCAATAGCTGGCAGGATGAAATGGAAGTGGAAGACGATGCCTGGTATCACGTGACAGCCCTCTTGCCTGAAGTCATGGTGTGGGTTTAGGGCCTTTAGGCATGTGGCAAAATCTTCAGATGCAAGAGTCTTCAATGACTTCAATGCGAGGTGACCTTTCGTCCGGGCAACAGCGCGGTGGAACTGAAGCTGCAGGCAAGGGAAGCTTATGTCTTTTCAGCAACCGCTGCCCATATCCATCCAAGTACGTCGTCAGACTCCGCTTGCAGCTGAGGGCGTTCAGTTCAGCAGCGGGGTTATTCCAGTGAACATGCTCGCGATGAGCAGTGGGCCCCAGCTGGGCGTCTACTCCTTCGAATATTCTGGATCGTGGCCGAGTGCTCTGGATGTAAGAGTAGAAGAGATCCACGGATTCACGCGCATTCCTTGATAAAGATTTTTAGCTGAGGGATGCCGTCGTCTTGATGTGCAATGGTGTTTGGTTGGACCGTTTAAGTTGCAAGGGTAGTTGCAACAGAGTGAAGTGGCTTGTGCGCGGGAAGCTCTCGATATTTTAAGGGGCTGCGCCCATGGGCGGGCAGCGCACGCAGAAGCCCGGGGCGAGCAGTTTCTAAGCATGTCGAGGCCCCTAAACTCCCTTAAAATCTCTAAGCGTTAAGTTTCTAAGCATTTTCAGGCCCCTAAACTCCCTTCAAATCTCTAAGCGTTTGAGGCTCCGAGACTCCCTTAACGTTTCTAAGCACTTTATAAGGCCCCTAAACTCCCTTTTTCCTAGCCCCGGGCTTAGACACGTCGCTTATGCCCGCCCTTTGGGGGGCATCACATGCTCCTGATGCCCCCCCGCGGTCCCGCCCCGGGAGCCGCTGATGCTCCTGATGCGCGCCTGGGGGTCCCGGGCTTGACCCGCTGATGCTCATGATGCGCGCCCTCTGGGGGCCTCCGTGGCGACGCAAAAAACCACGAAAAAAAAAACCGTTCACCGGCGGCACGCGGGGGTCGGCGGCACTGGGCGTTCGGCCTAATTCTGCTTCGCAGAAGGCCAGAGGCCAGCAAGGCTATTCCCGGGACGACCCGGGCTAAAAGGTCCGCATTTGCTCGGTCCTTTGGGGACCTCGCGCTGCCCGATTTCAGGCCTAGCGGCACGGGCCGGCCCCCGCCCCCCAAAGCACGAAACCTTGAACCTTGGCACTGTCTTCTCTTTCCCGTGTCTTTGTCCTCTCCTTCTCTCTGTCTCTCTTTCTCCTGCTTTCGCCCCCCCTCCCTCCCCCCACCCCCCCCCGGCGCGCGCGCGCGCGCGCGCGCGCGCGCGCACCCGCATCAGGAGCATCAGTGGGGTTGGTTTGGGGGCCTTAAAAGCAGTCTATGCATGCGTTTTGCCTTCGAAAAACCTTCAGAAAACGCTGTAAACACGTGTTTTTGGGCTTGGGAAGCCTTTTGGGACCCAGGAAAGGGAGCATCATGAGCATCAGCGGCCTCCCCCAGGCCATCCAAAACCCCCTTAAACACGCCGATTGTATTTGCTTGAACGCTTGCGTGCCCACGAAACCCCAAGACCCCGAATGCCCTTAAGGGCATTCGGGGTCCTGCTGTTCGGGTGTTTTGTAGGCACGAAGCCGTTCGAGCGCGTAAAATGAGCGATTTTAGGGGCGTTTTTACGTGTACCCACAAAACACTCGGTATTTACGAGGTTTTCTGCTGTTGGAACACCCCCCCAAACCGAGCATCATGAGCATCAGCTGGGTCTCTGGGCCGTGGGCCCGGACCCACCCACGAAGCCCAAGAGAAGCGATGGCTCGATGATGCGCCCGGACCCCGCGCATCAGCAGCATCAGCAGACCCCCCCCCCGGACGTGGGTTTCGATGATGCGCACTTTGGGGGCGGGTCAAGGGCAACAGGGGTGGGGGTCGGAGGCACGCGTGAAAAACCTCATAAAAACACGGTATTTACGGTGATCTCAGCGTTTTTCAGCGTTTTTTATTGCCTTGGGCCCGCGGGCCAGGGCTGCTGATGCTCATGATGCTCGCCTGGTTTTGGGCTTCCGGTACCCCCCCCAAACCTTGAAAAACGTGGTTTCGGCCTGGCGCGCGCCCCATGTGAAAAGCTAGGGCCGATGATGCGCGCCTGTGAGGGTTTTATGGGGTGCTGCGGGTGTTTTGTGGCCTCGGTTTTTCGTAAACACCCATGGTTTTTACGAGGTTTTCGTGCTTTTCGCACCACCGCGTGTTGCGTCCCCTTGGATGCCGTTTCGGAGACCTCCCGAAGGGCCCCGCGCGAATTTGAAGCAATTTTGGGCGGGGTCGGCGGCTCGGGCGCTCGCCCCTTAAAGCTAGCGCTTTAGTGCGACGCGGGCTCCGCCCTGGACCACGGGCGGCGCGGGGGCCGGATTTAATGGCTACCGCCAGTGCCGCCGACCCCAGACCCAAGACAGTCGCATTGGGGCGGAAGGCAGGGTGGAGCGCGGGCAGGCGGGGGGGGCGGGGGCGGGGGGGGTGGGGGTGGGTGGGGGTGGAAAGGGGTGGGGGGTGTGGGGGGTGACCGTAGAGGGTTGGTGTCGGATTAGGGAGTTGGGGGGGGAAGGCAGGGGTGGACTGGGGGGCATAGAGATGAAGAAGCGATGAGAGCGGTGAGAGCGGGGGGGCGGTGGATGGTGCACGATGGTGGGAGGGGGTAATGATGAGGGCTGGGGAGGGTTGGTGGGAGGGTTAGGGAGTGGGAGTGGGAGAGGGTGGGGGCGGCGGAAAGGGGGCTGACTCATTTGACCAGCTCTGGTGAGAGGGTTGGGGCGGAAGGCAGGGTGGAGCGCGGCGGGTGGACAGGGGAGGTGACGGTCGAGGGTTGGTGGAGTTGGGGGCGGAAGGCAGGGGAGTGATGAGAGCGGGGAGGCGGTTAGGGCGGGCGTGGATTGAATCCCTGATTTGTCAGGGGCGGAGTAGGGGGGGGTAGGGGTCGGGGGTGGGGGGGGGGGTGGGGGGGGGTGGGGGGCGGGTGGGGGGGGGTGGGGGTGCGGGGGGGGGGCATTGTCAGGGAAAGGGAAGGGATGGGGGGGTGGGGGGAGGGGGCGGGAGGGGGGGGGGGGGGGGTTTCAGCGTAGAGGGGGTTAGAGGGTGGTTGGTCGAGCGGTTGAGGGAGGGGGAGGATGAGAGCAGTTAGGGCTGACGATAGAGATGGGGGGGGGGTGGGTGGGGGGGGGGGGGGGGGTGGGGGTGGGTGGGGGGGGGGGGGGTCAGGGTGGTGGGGGGGGGGGGATGGGGGGGGCGGGGGGGGGGGGGGGGTGGGGGTGGTCGGGCATGCACTCGGCCCTTTAAACCACCTGAATGGATGGGGTGGGGGGGGTCAAAGGTCCAATTCAAGGCGTCATGGGTGAGGGCGAAGGGTGATGCACTGAAGCCAAACAATGCAAAAACACTCCAATTCAAGGTGTCATGAGCAGCATGCTGTGAGAGCGGGTGAGGGCGGTGAGGGCGGTGGGGGGTCTTCACTGACGCCGCCCTGCTACCGCTGGGGTCGGCGGACAAAAAGGCGACCGCTGGCGAATGGTGCATGTCCAATCAGTGTGACAAGCTGTCAAAGATCCGATTCGGTCAAAGTTTATGTCCAGGCCGACTGCCCAGTCCCCCAAGGCTCCACACCTAAGATCCTGAACTGAGTGAAGCAGGGAAGCCTCGCAACCGACATCAACCGACGTGCCTTGGAGGCAGAGATCGACGAGCTTCTCGAGTACGTGGGGCGGATGCGTGCCATCGGCATCCAGAGCCGCAAGGCCCTGCTGACCAGCTCAACCGCGGCAAATGTTGAGGCTTGTTGGCTAACCCTAAATCCAGCCCAACCCTACTTGTAGCTGTTCACTGAGTCAGGAAGGTCTTCGGGACCAGGGTTGAGGGTTCCGAACTCGGGCGGATGCTCTGCGGATCTTGGATTGGAGTGTTCTTGGGTACTTGGGCCATGATTCTTTCTTCGCCCCGCTGCATGTTCCATGACGCTCCCTAGTGTGGGGAAGGTCACCAATCCCAAAGCCTTCGGGTGGGCGAAGCCGCACGCCCAGCCTATGGACTTTGTGTGCAGGATGCAGACTTCATAGGCTCAGAGGCTCAAGGCAGCTTTGCAGGCGTAACAGTCTACAACCTTGAGCATCCCACATCCCATCCTCATCTTTTCTTGACTAAGCCTGTATTGCGTTGCATTCTTGGGCTTGGGGGCTCAGGCTCTGGTGTGGGCAAAGTTTAGAAAGCCTCTCATTTCTGGTCCATTTGCTCCGGCTTCAGCTTAGCTTTGGCTTTGAAACACGTGCGCCATTTGTCTTGACCTGCCTGTGGAAGCGGGAGCTTTGAATCCTCTAGGGACAGATGCTCACGCGACACCAGAAACCAAAGCCATCGGAATAACATCCTAAAGCCCCCAAACCCCTGAATACCCCCAAACCCACTCATGGACTGCTCAGGAGTGGAGACGAGAAGGGTGAGAAGGAGAAGGGCGACACCAAGGAGGATTGCCTCCCACACCTGCGCAGTTCTTGTCGAATCTAGCTTCGTTTTTCAGCACGCAAGCGGAGTTGGAGATTGTTGCTCGTGGGTCCGCTTGTGTGCGTGTGCTTTGTGTGCTTCACTAAGCAGGACGGTATCGGGTTCGTTCTTGTTGGCAGTCGCCGATGGGACTCTCCTGACTGATTGGGTGGGATGGCGGGATCCTAGGTGATTTTATGATTTGGGAAGTCACGGAGTCACTTTGCCGGCTGCTTCGATCGTGTGTGGTGTTGGCTACCGTGCAGATGCTCGTGCACGAAGCAGTGGAGATGTCATAGTGCCGCTAGGCACAGTAAGGTGGAAGAGAGGTCAAGCAAGCCACAGTAGGCATCGATGAAAAGGATGTTTGTACCTGCGCGCAAGGAATACAGAAGAATCGTAAGAATGACAAAGAGGATAGTCAGGAAAGCAAGAGACAGAGAAGAAGAGCATCCTTGGAACCCTCTAAGCTGTAAGCTCTAAACCTCCTGTGGGCCTTCAACCAAACCCGAGGTTTACTGGAACCCCGACATCCCCAAAATCACAAACCCTGACCCTTTGCATCCAACCCTAAAACCCTGACAAAAGACGGCTTTGAACTTCGTGTCAGAGCATGTCAAAGCGTGTCCGTTCATGGTGTGTGTCTCCATGTGTGTATATATATATATATCTGTGTCTCTGTGTGTGTGTGCCACATGAATCCAAACTCGTGCAAGGCTTCGCTGGGCCGAGCCAATAGCCGTTAGTGGGCTCGAACAAGAATCCTTGTAGCATCATCGGGGCTGGGGCTGAGAGGACCCGTCGCAGCCAGAGCTGGAAAGTCAAGAGACGCTGTCTTCCGAGAAGGCTGACAAATTCGAGCCTCTGAATCAGGTGATCGAACTTTGCAGGGACTGCACCCAACACAAGCATCCATACTTTTTTTTTGCT